CATTCTTTGAGGCAATGTTAAGTTCTGGGCTCACGGTTAAGTACCTCTAGGTTGAGGTGTAGAGGAAGAACTACCACCAACAATAGAGGGATCATATTATCTCTAAATAAGTTTGACATCAATAAGAGCTTTTAGATGTAAGAACTCTTCACTATTTGTCCCAATGGACACCAACTCTCCCACATAAAGTGGTTATCAAAGAAAGGAACCATAAACCATCTCTTCTTGAATGGGCTGTTTGTAGTATGGCATTGAAGATCACCTAACCAATGTTGATGGATTTTCCTATAACAATGGCATAAATGAGGATTGCTCGCTCTTCTGTAACATCTTTAATATGTGTAGATGGAAACATCTTTATGGCTATAAAGTATAGCCACACATTTATATCCCTTTTCATTGCACTAGCTTTGAAGGATATCAACTAACCCTTTGACATCTTCCATTGTGCACCCTCCTCACAAGGCATTAAGATAACTTTGTTCAAGTTTTGATGATCTCCAAGATATTGCCCCCAAGCATCGTTCTCAATATTAGGAACTTTGTTCACGTTTTGATGATCACCAAGATATTGCCCGTAAGCATCGTTCTCAATATCAAGAGCCTCATAGAAAAAATTAATGGCTTGTCTATGAAAGGCCACCTGTTTACCTTTCATGAAAGCAACACCATTATCATGTTCAAAAGCATTAGCGTAAAATTCTCCTACCACTAGTATGATGGTAACGTTCGACCGAGCACAGAATTTCTACCTATGCCTTTCTTCAATACGAGCTTGAATCCCAAGGTAGTGCATCAAAGCATTATGAAAACCTCTTTGTTGAATTGGAACTTTGTTGACAAGGGAGCTAGAATTTCTTGTGACAACATCCAAAAACACAAATTTTGTTCAATCAAAAGAACTATTCGAACTAGCTCATGCTCTCTTTAGTGCCATTATCAAATTTTCTACAATAAATCTCAAGAAACAATAAAGCAAAACCCAAGCAAATATTTACAAGAACTATTTAATAGCCGCAATCACAATAATGAATTTCTCTAACTCTCAATCCTTCAACCAAATTGCAAGAATAATATCTCTCAAGTATTTTAATAATCCAGACTATTAATCAACCCACAACTCCAGCCACAATTTACTCTAATATCAAGTCAACCAAATCAAAATACTCAACTTTTGCAAGAACCTAATAATATCTAAGCACAATTTACTCAAAAATCATGAACTTCCATCAAAAACTATAAACAAACTATTATAATCTTCAAGAAACCAAAAATTCCAAAAAATTACATAAAATCTTCCAAGAAAGAGAAAGAGAACTTACTTGAGAAATTTGCAACACTTGTTTGTTGATGGTTTGGTAGAGTGTGGATGGGCTTTTGATGTGTTTGGAGACAAGAAATTGAAAATTTTTTAGTGGTGTGTGAGATTTTTAGAGAGAATGAGTGTTTTTGGTGGAGTAGGAGAGTTTTTGAAGGTTAGGGTTTGAAATTTGGAGAGAAAAGGAGTTTAAATAGAAAGGAAAAGGGGTTGGGTTAGATGGGCACCGCGACACCAAAGACATTGATCTACAGCTATATTTTCACGTTTAGGCATTGTAGCGCCCGTTGACCTTTTTATTTATAAGGGGTGTCCACTTCGGGTTTGGGCATCGCAGCATTGGCTTTTTTTTTTGGTGACTACAAAATAAGCAAAAAATTTTATTAGCAACAAAAAAAATTAAAAATGAAGAAAAATAAATTGACTATGAAAATTTAAGTGTAGAAAGCTTAGATTGCCTCTCAAGAAGCACTTGATTTATAGTCGTTAACTTAACTTTCTCAAGCTCATTTGGTGTTGAGAACAGTGATTGAGGATTTTCGGCGATTGATTTCACCTCCCTAATAATATTTAAAATGTTACCCATTCACCTTGAATTTATCTTTTGAGCTTTCATTAGCAATTTCCACTGCTCCATGAGTGAATACTTTTGTAGCAATGGAAAGTCCTCACTTTCTAGACTTGAGCTTACCAGGAAATAATCTCAATCGAGAATTATAAAGGAGAACATGTTGGCTTGGTTCAAAGTAATGTTCGATGATCCTTTTGTCAAGCCATTTCTTTATCTTCTCCTTGTATATTTGCATTGTCATAAGCTTGAAGACACAACTCTTCCATCTCATTGAGTTGCAAGAGACGTTTCTCACCAATTGCTTCGAGATCAAAATTCAATTTTTTGATAACCCAATATGCATAATGGTCAAGTTCAATCAAAAGATGGCAAACTTTGCCAAAAACCAATCTAAATGGAGACATCCTAATCAGAGTTTTGTAGGCAATCTTATAAGCCCATAATGCATCCCCTAATCTCTTGGACCAATCTTTTATAGATGGACAAATAGTTTTCTCCAAAATTCTTTTGATTTCTCTGTTAGATATTTTAGCTTGGCTACTCATTTGCAGATGGTATGTTGTAGCAATCTTATGTTTACCTCCATATTTAGCAAGAAGTGCCTTAAAAAACTTGTTGCAAAAGTGATAATCTTTACCACTAACAATAGTTCTAGAGGTGCCAAAACGAGTGAAGATATTCTTTTTCATGAAGTACATCACCAACTTAGAGTCATTAGTTGGGAGTGCTATAGCTTTAACCCATTTAATCATGTAATTAATAGCAACCAAGATATATTGATTATTATATGAAGGTATAAGCAAACCCCTGAAGTCAATTCCCTAAACATAAAAAACTCCACCTCGAGGATGTTGTAGAAATGCATCTCATGTCTCCATGATATGTTACCAACTCATTGACATCTATCACACATTTTAATAAAATAATGAGCATCTTGAAAAAATGTAGGGCAATAAAAACCTAATTGAAAAACTTTTGCAGTAGTTCTTTAACCTTTATAATGTACTTCATAATTTGAAGAGTGACAATGGTGAAGTATATTCTCAATTTCATCCTTTGGAACACACCTTTTAAGAATTTGATCCAAACGTTGCTTAAATAAGAAAGGCTCATCCCAAACATAATATTTGACATCATGCAGGAATTTCTTCTTTTGTTGAGAATTCAAATTGAGAGGAAAAAGATTGCTTACAATGTAGTTCATAAAATCAGCATATCATGGTAAATTTTTCTGCTTGTTCTCATGAAACAACTGCTCATTTGGAAAATTCTCATTGATCACAGTTGAATTACCAACTTGGGCTCAATTCCCCAATCTTGAAAGATGGTCTATCACTTGGATTTTTTATACCTTTTCTATCTCGAATTTCTAAGTCAAATTCTTGTAGTAGAAACACTCATGTTATCAATCTTTCTTTAAATAAGATATTTAATTGTAGAATGATCAATATAAATAGTGACTTCTGTGTCAATAAGGTAAAAGCTAAATTTATCAAATGCACACACTACAACAAGTACCTCTTTTTCAGTAGTGGTGTAATTCATCTGAGCTTCAGTTAATGTTTTGCTGGCATAATAAACAGAATGGAGTATCTTCATCTTCCGTTGCCTTAAGATTGCACCAACCGCATAATCACTTGCATTACACATAAGCTCTAATGGAAGACTTCAATTTGGGACTATGATAATAGAAGTAGAAATTAATCTCTTCTTTAGCTCCATAAATGCATCAAGGCATGCATCGTCATAGTGGAAAGGTGTGTCTTTCTCTAAAAGGTTGCACAGTGGCTTAGAGATTTTAGAAAATTTTTTGATGAAGTGCCTATAAAAACCAATATGACTAAGAAAACTTTGAATAACTTTCACTGATGCTAGAGGTGGAAGGTTTTCAATTGTCTCAATCTTTGCCTTATCTACATTTAAACCATTTCTAGAAACTCTATGTCTAGGAGTTACACCTTTTTACACCATGAAGTGACATTTTTCCTGTAACATCTCGTACTCTCGAATAGAAGTCAATAAGACCCAATCGACAAGACGAAGGGTCAATTGATGAAAACTTAATTGCCAAAGGGCAGTAATGTCTAAAAAGAATATTTTAGAATAAAATAATATTTTATTAATAAAAAAAATTAAAATATTAATATTTTAATTAATCTTGAGATTAGTCATGGAGGAGGAT